CCGTCCCCGACCCCCGGCGCGAAGGAAGCGGCCGCAGGCGCTGTCCGTTCGGCGAGCCCTGGCGCCCGTCTTTATTATGGGCCCCCGCCCCTGCACCCCCGCCGCCCCCGGGACCCCGCCACCCCCCCGCACAGAGGGGCGCCCCGGGGCCTTCGCTCCCGGCCGGCACGCGGAGCCCCGACACGGCGCCAGGCACCCAGCGGTTTTATATAAATATACGTGTTGTCGTTCCGTGCCCCCCACCTCCACAGGGCTCATGAGACCCCCTATGTATAGGTGGGCTTGTATGGCACCCTGTACAGAGCTGGACAMCCCAGAGTCATGTATACAACCCCCTCCACCCATATAGGGCTATACAGAGCTCAGCCTATATAGGGCACGCCAGGCTGTAGCTGTGTCTATATAGAGTGGCACAGGAGGGGTCATATATGGTCTTCTACAGAGCTGGCACTCAGGTGTCATACACCCCTATACAGAGCTGGACACCCTGGGGTCATATATACGTATATACCCATATAAAGCTGAGCACCCTGATGTTATAGCATCCCTATACAGAGCTGGAGGTAGGGGTTGTATACGCCCTTCTAYAGAGCTGGGGTAACACATAGCCCCCATCGAGCTGCACACCCAGGGGTTTCACCCCCCCATACAAAAGTGGACACCCAGGGTCACACCTAGACCCCATAAAGAGCCCCCCCGCATCCCCGGGGCTATAGATCCCCCTATAGAGCAGCCACATCCCGCCGCAGCTCCCGGTGCCGCGGGGCCGGGGGGGCGGGCGGTGCGGGGGGCGCTGGCGGCTACTGCTTGTCGATGGCGCCCTGCTCGGCGGCGCTGTCGCGGGGGGCGGCGGGCGCGTGCCACGCCGTCTGCTTGAACACGAACCAGCAGTTCCCGGCCCACAGGAGGAAGTTGATGAAGCCGAAGAGCTGCAGGGGCGAGAGCGGAGGCCGGCGCTGGCGGAGGGGCGAGCGGGGGGCAGCGCTGCAGCCCTGCGCGCGGGTGAGCACTGCCCTCGTGCGGCTGCAGGCTGCATGCACGTGCATGTCTGCACGCGTGTATGCACGTGTGTCTGTATGTGCATGTGTGCAAGCATGTGCATACGTGTCGGTACATRTCCGTGCATATGTGTGCTTGATGTTTATGCATGCACGCACATGTATTTCTGCACTGTGCACRTGAGTGCACATATATGCATGCACATGCACGTGTCCACATGTATGTGCATGCATGTCTGCAAGCATGTGCAAGTGTGTAGGCCTGTGTGTGCATTTGCATGCGCATCTGTGTTCATGCCAATGTGGATGTGTGTGCATGTATGTATGCATGTGTGTACATGCATGCTAATATCACCAGGCATGCATGTTCATATGTGCATGTGTGTACATGTCTGTGTGCATGTGCATGCCCGCACATTCCTGCCTTCGGGTGGGTGGAATGTGCACAAACCTATGTGTGTGCATGCGTGTGCACCTGTGCATGCATATGTGCGCATGAATCTGTGTGGAAGCACATGCTTGTGCACCCCTTGTGTGCGTGCATGCACATACAATAATGCACGCATGGTGCATATATGTGCATGCTCCCATCTGTGCGCATACATGCACGCCCAAGCTTGCTTGTGCATCCGTGCACACGCGTGCGCACGCCTCCGCGCCAGCTCCCGCCGTGCCCCAGCGGTGTCCCTCACCACGGAGATGTTGGCCAGCCCCATGGCCGGCGTGGCGCCCGCGTTACACACGGCCTCCTGGCCCTGGCACACTCTCATGGCGCCGATGAGGCTGGAGGGCCGCGTGGCYGCCTTGACGTCGCTGAGCCCCTTGCCCCAGGCCGCCGCCGCCACCAGCCAGAAGAAGGCGAAGCAGACGGTGATGCAGAAATCCTGTGCCGGGGACACACCGTGAGTCCCGTCCCGTGCCCCGGGCTGGATGCACCCCCTGGCCCCGCGGGCCCCCTTACCGTGAACGGCAGCTTCTTGTTGTCGCTGTAGAGGGAATGGAAGCGCAGGTAGAGCACCAGGGCCGCCATGGCGTAGAGGAAGGAGAAGACCCCCAGGGTCACGAAAAACTCAGCGGGCGCCGAGAAGTCGCCGACGAGGTGCAGGGTTTGGCTCTCGGAGGCGCCCTCGCAGGTGGGCATGTCGAAGGGCACCTGGTACAACCTGGGCACGGCGTGGGTGCCGGGAGAGCCCGGGTCCCATGGGTGTCCCAAAGGCAACAGATCCCATGGGCGTCAGTTGCACGAGATCCCACGGATGCCCCAAACACACCAAATCCCGCAGCGGTCCCRAATGCACCAGATCCCATGGGTGTGCCAAATGCTCTGGATGCCCCAGGTGCCCCGAGAGCACCATGTCCCAAGGGTGTGTGTCCCAATTGCACTGGATCCCATGAGTGTCCTGAATGTGCTGGATCCTGCGGCAGCCCCATATGAACYGGATCCCACAAGTGTCCCGAAAGCTCCAGATGCACCAGGTGCCCCAAAAGCATCATGTCCCAGGAGTGTCCCGATTGAACCGGAACACACATGCATGTGCACACACGTGTGCACTGAATGCGCCAGATTCCCAGGCATCCCAAATGTACCGGAACCTGCAGCTGCACCAATTGCACCGGATCCCACAAGTGTCCCAAATGCACCAGATCCCATGGGTGTCACAAATGCACTGGATCCCACGGAYACCCCAGACACCCTCTACCCTGCATTCCCCTGCCACGTGCCCCAGTCCCTCTGGTGCCGGTGTCACCGGCGTCACCGGGGGCTGTGGGGGGTCCCCCGGGGCGCTCACCTGAAGGGGTAGCCGAACTGCACGGAGATGGCGCTCATGTCCCCGCCGTCGCCCGCGCACTTCACCGTGGCGCCCGTCTCGCCGCTGAAGGAGCCGCAGGCCCCGAAGGCGAAGATGGCGAAGAGCTGGGAGGCAGCGGGGCCG